CATGGTGTTTTCAATAACCTCATATGCATGTGAAAGTGGGAGAATGAATAAGGAAAACCGGAGAAGAATCAATGCATCTGAATTACAGTGTTGGCAAAGAATTTTGAAAGTATCATGGACTACCATGGATTTATGTGTTGGAAGACGCAACAGCCAGAATTCTCCCTAGAAGCGGAGATGGTGAGACTGTGTCTCTCGTACTTTGGACATGTTATCAGGAGGGGCCAGTTCCTAGAGAAGGCCATCATGCTTGGAAAAGTGGTCCAATGGATGGTCAATGAAAAAGAGGAAGACCCCCAAGTGATACAATGGTAGCAACAATGGCTCAAACATAACAATTTTTAGGATGGTACAAGACCGGGAGGCGTTTCTTTCTATTGGTCACTGAGTCAGAACTAACTCCATAGCACCTAACAACAACATAGTCTTCAACCGGAGGTGGGGAGACTAAAAGAGTAAAGAATCAGGTTTATTGTCATTATTCTTCCTAAGGGATTTTTTAAAATTCTTAAATGGGGGGAAAAATCCTCTTAAATGGAGATAATAATTGCTGTAGGATCAGCACTGAACTGTTAAGCACAAGGTCGGCAGTTCAAACCCACCAACAGCTCTTTGGAAACCCTATACAGGGTCACTATGAGTGGGAACCTACTCAACAGCACTACCAGCTCATCGGTAGCTATGAGAGAACACGATATGAGATACCCAGCATATAGTAGGTGATGGGAAGTTGATAATGCTCTCTTTAATCTGCTCTGTTCACTTCCTCTCCAGGAGGCTGCCCTAAAGGGCTCACTTAAAGATCACCTTCTGAGGAGACTCTTCCTCATTGCACTCCACTTTGTCTGACTCTTCTTTTTGCAGGTACATGGGAACTTACAACGTACTTTACACAGATGGCATTATCCTGCTATTGTCATGCTAGCTGAGAATCATTCTCTAGCACCTGGATGCTTACTCCTTGTTTACCTGGACTGTGGTGTGGCGCTGTGTGTTAACGCACCAGACTGCAAAGTCATTTGAACTGCAAGGTTGGCAGTTCAAGCTCACCAGCATCTCCTTAGAAACCCTATACAGGGTTGCTATGGGTTGGAACCGACTTGACAGCATTTAACAACAACAACAAATTACTCTCTATTGGTAAAAAAGCATTTTCAGTTTTTTAACAACTGGAAACCTTAATCCTCATTCTTAATAAATACATACAGTGAACAGTAAGTATTTGTTGAAGCAAGAAAAGGCGGGGGAAGAAAACCTGGTAAGTACTCAACATTGATAAATAATGTTTGCATTCAGGGTGGGGAGAGTGAATCAAGAAAAAGAACAGTAAGGTCAAAACAGACCAGTCAGAGAAGTAGGTGGCAAACAGAAGAGCAAACTTCCAACAGCCAAGGTAGAAATTTTAGCAGGTTGATGTGTTGAAAAGAGAAACAAAATGGGATTCAAGGTATTTGGGTTCAACTTCCATTATCTGTAACCTAGGGCGAGACATATCACCTCTAAGGATCTATTTCTTTATTTTTATAAATAGAGGATATGACTAAGTCAGTGATCTTCTAGTTGTGCTCCCAAGAGTCAAGCTAGAGGCTCCAAGAGGCTGAAACCCAGACCCCTGACCTCCTCAGCCAGGGAATAGCTGTTCCTTTCTGTGTCACACATTGGCTTCTCCATAGAAGTTGGTTTGAACAAAAGGCTATGTGGCAAAAGCATTCTCAAACAATTTGATGAACTTGACCTACACCTATGGAAGCAGTAGCTCAAAAGAGGGAACAAGTCCTTACACCCCCTCCACACAGAGTAGACAGGGATGGGCAACTTGGACACTGGCTACCCAAAATGGGGGGTGGGGGGCTACAAAGGCAAGAAGTGACTGGCTTACAAGCTTTCAAGAGG